GCGCTTCCCTGGTCTCTTTTGTCCCCGCTGGGCGCTGCTCTATGTCCCAGCGTGGAGAAAAGAAAGTGACAGCCGGTGATCGATCGAAAGTACGAACTTATCGAGTTGTGGGACCGCATGACTTCCTGTTTCCCTATGAACTACAATGTTTGCACACAAAACATGTTGTGCACGAGCGGCATCCATGGCATTGCCCTATACACATAGACCACAGTAATAAAATGATCTAGGATGACAGTAAGTCAGCACGTTCTTTATCTCAGGTGCCCCACTCAAGCGGCGGCCATATTGAGTGGGGCACCTGAGATAAATAACGTGCTGCCTTACTATCATCCTACATCATTTTATTACTTAGTTTTTAAAAAATAAAATATTAAAAAAAATTGAAAAAATAAACATTTTCGGTATCGGTTTCGGCCTGACATTTTTTTTATTTCGGTTTCGGTTTTAAAATTTCCATTTCGGTGCATCTCTACTTTTTTTAAACGTATCTAAAACCAAGAAAGAAATGTAATATATTGCAGCTTACCAGTGCTTAGATGAAGTAGCTGCATTCATTTTTCTTTTTTTTCCCGGGCTTTTTTTTTCACCCTGTGTTCATGACAGTAACACACTTCCTGTCATAGGGTGACAATGCTGACTTATTGTACTGTATCTGTGGAGGAGCAGCATGGTCACGCCAGGAGAGAAAGTGTGTTGTAAGTGTATAACACCTCCCCATGTCCTTATCTGCATAATTTAGGGGAAGTCTTCTGTAGTTCACAGAGGTAAGCTGAGCAAAACTAATAGACTGAGACCAAAGCGCAGCACAGGCAAAAGTGCAAAGGAAGTTACAAGCTCACTGGATTTTTGGCAGCATCAACAGGTATCTTTGTTAAACAAATTTAACAAAACACTTTCGATAGTATACTTAAAGGAGAACTATGAAGTGAGTGATTTACACTCACCCTCATAGTTAGAGCCGACGTGTGACATTGAAACTGTCACATGTCGAATCTATAGATTGGGAAGTGGGCGAACACATACCGTCGCTCGCTCACTTCCCAATTGTTTCCTTGCACAGAGCAGTGACTGTCAGTCACCACTCCCCGGAAGGATCCCCCCACCCCTCTCCGATCCTCCAGCGATGACTGGAGGAACGAACTGGGAGGGGGCGGGCACAGCTGGCTCTGCCTCTATATAGGCAGAGTCTGCTGTCAATCAGCCAGCTGGGTGGATCTCAACAGTATTGTCAGGATCCGTACTGGCTGCACAGCTCTCAGTATGTAGCGGGCAATGGCCTGCTATATACAGAGCATTTGGTCATGGGAGGACATTATGATGTCCTCCCGTGACACTAAAAAGAATTTATGAACTTTATTGATAGGGTTTACATACACATTAATTTAATAAACAGGTGATGCAAGAGTGAGGCACCAAGTCTCATGGGAGAAGGGGGGAAAGAGGAGATAAAGCGGAAACTGAAGGAAAGCAAAGGCGCAACAAACAAAATATGGGAGAGGGAAGACACCAAAAATAAGGGTAAAGCAAGGGACCCCAATCCACAGGAACCACAATATAACTCAACACCGATGAGCTCAATCGACAAAAAAAAACAACTAATTAACTGTCACAGGGGGCCTTCAATCTGTCAAATGATGTCTTATCAACATAGTACATCCAAGGATTCCAGACATCACAGAAAGCGGCATGTCGGTCATTAAGGTTGGCCGTCAGTTCTTTGACACGTTGCAAGAACTGCATGTCCTTCCCCCCAAAAGAGGGGGAGGGACAGAAGTCTTCCAGTGGCACGAAATAATAGCCCTCGCCGCTATTAAAAAGAAATGGAGGAGACTTCACTTTGCTGAAGAGATTGCACCAAGTATAATGAAAAGAGGAGCAAACTTTGGAGATTGGTGAACACGTGTAAGAAAAAACGTAGCAAACGGCAGTCCAAAAGGGAGCAACGCAAGGCCGTCCCACCAAATATGCAGAAGATTTCCCAAGTGGGAGTGACATCACAGAGATCTGAGGGAAGATAAGATAGCTATAAAACCTTTATTGCATTACAATCATTGCATGTACAAAATCACTTTTGTGTGCTGGGCATATCTGACCACAGAGTATAGTACAATACTTTTAGGCTTCTGTACCTCACAAGCTGTTCTCAAGGACCTTCACTCCATTCATTTCAAGCAATGTCCTTCTCCAGACCTACTCATTATAATACAAAATTCCAGTATAATCCAATGTACTTGCAGAATCTCTCCACTTCACTGTCTTCACTTAGGAAGTCCTGACAAAAGTGGTGGCATGACTTATTCTGCACTTCGGCATGGATCAGTGCCATGGAGTGAACAGTTTCCAAGGTGAATGACTATAGGTGCCTCTTTCCAATTGCTAGTGAATTTCCAAGGGATCCCCTAATTTCACTGCTTTTTCCAGAGTCTGATGATACTTGAAGGATGAACTGTGTTTGCTTAACAACCAGTTCCCTTATGCTTCTTTTAGGGCGCCACACATGTTCAAGTGCCTAAATCCTCTTCCAGATAGAGCAAGTGCAACAAATGCGACAGATGACAGTCTTATGTTAGCTTTGTGCGCAAATCTTTGCATTAATACCAATCCTCATGACTAGGCCAAACCTCCCCCCAGTACACGACCTCTCACCCCATTACATGAATAGCAAGGAGAGCTCAGGTAAGAAACCGGTTAGTTACTATGGGCAAAATTTTTTTTTTCCTCCTAGTTTTGGCAAAGCAGTTTCATCTTGACTGTCATATAAGTTTTTATAACTAGACATTAAACAGCCATTGCATCTAAAGTCTGGTAAGCTACAATATATTACATTTTTGTGCTTAGATTTGCTTAAATTACTCTGCAGCACTACTGAGCAAGAAATACAGCCTGCATATTTAATTAACACATAAGACTGTCCACCACAAGCATATATTATTTAAAACAACAGAATCTCTTTATATGGAGATGCATAGCTAAAATGTTAATTTTGTATAGACTTGACTCCTTATCCATTGGCGATAAGAGTAAATGTATATTTCACATTGGCTTTTGTATTTTTCTGTGTTTCTGTAGGTGCAATTTTAGCAATATTAAAAGTAAGCTTATTGACAAATGTGTCATATCATGGACAGCGTTGACAACCAGGACTTAGAGGAATCAATATTGTTGTTATTCCATGTTTTTCAGATAAGGTAAATAATGTAGAAGTAGCTATAAACACTTTTAACTTTATCATCAGGGATATAGCTGTATGCAAAGAAAGGGCATAAGAGGGAATTTGCCCATATTTCTCAGTTGGCTCCATACAATTTTCGCTCACCTTTTTGGACATAATATCAATATTCTTACTATATTGTCTCATACAGTTATGCAGGTTGAAGCAATGCAAGAGCTTCCGCTGAGCTTGCCAAGTTCTCCGCCAGCATGCACTATTTATTGGTATTTTTTGTACTCCGCTATGTACACTGAGCTGTGAATGTGCAGCTCAGTGTGCATTTTCAACATGTTATCCGGGATAAATTAATTTCCATGTACATTACATCATTCTGGGCTACCCAATCAAAATGTTTTTTAAAATTGGCAGCTTTCGTTAAAATACTACTTGGTGATTTTACCCCGAAGAACCTTGTTCAGCAACTTCCTGTTATGGGTGACAACTGCCTTCCAGCTGTGTTGTCACCTTTTGTTTAAGGCTACAGGTGGCTGGGCTGACACATATTGCACAGGCATGGGAAACTAGCCAGGGGCTATAGTGTCTAGCGAAGCTCCCACATGAGATGAATGCTAGCCCTCTTGTTATTCTCCTCTACGCTGTTTGAGTTTGCAGTTGCTGGCATGTGATGCTCCCATGGAGGTCACAGTTGGCTGGCATGTGGAATCCTTTCATCTTATATTCACCTGTCCTGTCATTTGGAGTAGTGTTAGCCGAGGAGCATCCCACCCTCCTACCCTAGACCTATTGCTTCCTCGTGGAATTTTTTAAAGGGGATAGTCCTTCAGCTATTACTTGGATAGGACTTTAATCTTGGGTTTTAAATTTGTGTGGTTAGTTTGAGCTTTATGGCTGGGCTTGTGCCCTTGTAAATTTGCACATTTTGCTATTATAAAATGTTGTTTTGGGTTCTCCTTCAATAAATACCACAGCCTTTTATGCCAATATGCTGTGTCTGTCTTTATTTATTCTTACATCCTCTTTGCTAGTAGGGTTATTTCTGAGGTTCCGGCATTTCATCTCATAGAATTGTATATGATACACAGCACTTTGTCTTCACATCTCCGCGGTGCAGTAACGCACATTCTTGGCGTATTTTACTTTAAAGGCACCAATTTTTCATTGGGCAGCCAGTGCAACTCAGTACAGCTAATCCAGGGCATAGCAATCTCACTGCTGCACGCAATGTGTGTTACCGCACGTTGCAGTAAAGCATTGCATGAAACCTGGCCTCAGGGTTCTGTATCTATTTTCCTGCCACAGAGATTTGCATCTGACAATGCAGTAGGGCAGTGTCACTCCTAATAATGACCATTATAAATAAAAAGTCTAGTTTGGAGAGTGAGAGTCCCTCATGATGGTTGTGGCATATGGGCATACTCAGAAACTCAAGTGCAACGGTCTGACCACTGTAGTGTCTGAAACATTCTAAGCAACGGTGTCATTTATCCCACTAATCTCAGCCAAAAACTCAAATGTCAGATTTAGATAGACAGACTTTACAGCAAAAATCCTCACCAGGTCAAGTATATGCATTGTAAGGATTTTAGCACAGTTCAGAATCTTACCTGTTTATAATTTGTGATTACTGATACATTCTTTCAAATTACTTTCTCCTTTGTAGGATGGTCTGCCTTCTATAATTCCAAAATCATTGAGATTTGAACTAGTGCTGCAAGGCAGGAGTGCACACCACTACACCACTGTGCTCAGAGTAATACTTTGTGAGCTGTATACACCTTCTGCTTTGATGTATTTTTAGGTAACAGTGTTTATGTCTTCTCTCTAGGTTGGAAGGAAAATCCAGTTGAATTTGATTCTGTTTTTAATGAAAGTGCATACACATGGAGCTGGGGCAGCCCTGATATTTTACCCATGTTTGCAAAAGGTATGGACTGTTCCAGATGTGTGATTGTATGGATAAGTGTAAAAATAATACAAATGTCTTATTTCCTATATTGTTCACTACTCTGCAGAATACATAGAACCTTTAAAATCAGTCTTTTGCCTGAAGGCTAAACCAGGGGTGCCCACAAGGTCGATCGCGATCTACCAGTCGACCGCGTAGCGATCACTGGTAGATCGCCATGTCCTCTCCTCCCGCCGCTTCTCTGGATCCCCGCTGCTCTCCCCAGCGGGGATCCGAGAAGAAGTGAAGGAACCGGCGGCGGGGGAGGGCGGAGGACGGAGCCGCTGTCACTAACTAATGCAGAGCAGTGAGGAGAGAGAGAGACGCTCGGCCAGGATCTGACAGCCGGCGCCTCTCTCTCCCCTCACTGCTCGTCCGTTCTGTCACAGCGGCTCCGACCCCCCCCCCGCGGCTCGTCGTATCCCCCGCTGCCTCTGCCCGGGAGAGCAGGGGGATCCAGAGAAGTTGCAGCCCCCCTGTGCGTGGACGAGCGGCAGAGGATCGGTACATGTCACTAGTATGTACCAATCCTCTGTGTAGGACAAACACTGGAGCGATCGGCTGATCACTCCAGTGTTTGTAAATAACTGGGGACACATAGTACTATGTGTCCCCAGTTATAAATGAATGAAGAGGAGGTGATTTACATCACCTCCTCTTCATTCATAAGTTTCTCAATGGGCAGAAGCACTCTGTACAGAGTCTCCTCCCCATTCAGAAACTGATAGTCAAATATTTTCTTAATGAATGGGAAGCCTCTGTGCTTTCCATTCATTTAGAATAGAGGCTGCAGAAAAAAAGATTGAGGACTTTGACAAAATAAATAAAAAAAACTGTTTTTTTTCCTTGCCTCAGGCGCAAAAGGAGCTGGCTACGGCTATGCTCCCGTGGTGCTCGTGCGGCTGCCGGCTGAATGTGTCAGACGCTGCAGATGGAAAGGTGCAGGACACCCCATGTGCAACGTCGGCCACACGAGCACCACGGGAGGACAGGACGCCGGGACCTGTAATGTACTGGAATGCACTGGAATGTAAGCAGGCCGACTCCCTGCGTTCCGGTGCGGGAGGGGGTGTGGAGCTGTATTGAAGTCAATGGCATCGCCCACAGTGCGATCGCCCGCACTCGGAACGCAGGCACATTCCTGCAGGCACATTCCTGCCTGCCTGCATTCCGGTCCAGTGCGATCTGCAAAAATAGTGCTTGCAGCATTTTTGCGGATCGCACTGGACTGGAACACAGGCACTGATGCAGGCGATCGCACTGTGGGCGAGGGGCCTGCCTGCGCAGCCTATGCCCCCTCCCACCCCTGAATGCAGGTGTTTTTTCGTTGGTAGATCTCAATGAGCTCGTCATTTGAAAAGTAGATCTCCAGACGAAAAATAGTGGGCACCCCGGCGTAAACAATCCAAATTAAGGCTTGTTTGGGAGGGCACCAAGTAACCTTTCAGTGTGTTTTTGAATTGTGAGGGGAAATCGGATCGTGAAGAGGGATCTTATACAAACATGAGGAGAACATAAAAATTCCATACTGTTAAAGAGGAACTTTACCCATATCATCAAAATAACAAAAAATATACCTTATGAAATGTTTAGTAATGACAATATCCAAACAGATACTTCTAGATAATTGCCGGCTTTGTATTCTTTGCATACCTTGTTTTTCTTTTCTTCTCCATTCTTTTCACAGTGACCATTTTTACTACGGGCAGATGAATCCATCTCCCTTTACTTCCTGGAACTCTGGCACATGTGACTAGGACATGTAACCATGCACATCATCTCAGGGGAGGAAAATTCCTTTCCCTGAGATCTCATGAGATTACAGATGAGATTTCCCAGCAATGCTCTGCTGATGTAACCTTCCCAAGATGCAATATAAGATCCAGATTGTAATTGACCCCCACTGTTGCAAGATATCAGTGCTGTCCACTGATTCACCAGCTGTAGCTCCTCCATGAAACTTCATACACTTAAAACTATAGCTATTTAAAATCGTTAGTGTTGAATGGTTGTCAAATGGTGTCTAATCTGCAAAAGCCTTAGTAAAATTGTATTCCATATGAGCTCTATCTTGAAGACAGTAGTGTGCACAGATTTAAAGCTTTTACTTGAAAAAAAGAACATTTTGTTGTTTGTTTTATCCAGCTGTTTTATTAGCTGTATCATCTGAGACCAGATGACCGAATATTCTGTCAACATGATTAGTTTCCACTGTATCTGCTATTCCCTCAGATCTGCACTTCTACAATATCAGCAGACATTGTAGAAGTGCAGTTTGTGGAAACAAATGTCAGTGTTTAAAGTACAAATAAATCTTCATTTTTTTGCATATATATACTTCTAGCAAGCAGTAGCTATATGCAAATACATGCAAAAATGAAAAAACATTAACAAATAGGTAAAAACTTACCTGTGTCTTCGACGCTTGCTCCAGTCTGAAGAGCTGAAGATTTGTGGGCGGCCGTGAAGGATCATGGGGCGGGCACATGCACAGTAGAGATCTTGAGACTAGAGAAGAGGAGATACACAGTGTAAGTCAATGCACTCAGCCAGCAGCATGCACTCAGACAGACACCATGAGACACACAAGATACAGCAATCAGCGCTGGATCAGAGACTGACACCAGCGCTGGAGGGACTCCTGAAAAATACTGGAAAGAAGAAGATGATCAGATCAAGAGGCATCACTTAAGGCAAGTCCTTAAAGCAGCATGGGGGGGGGGG